AAGGCTTCAAAACTATACCTAACATTCACTCCAGTCTTTTAAATAATCCCTAGTACATCCGGACATTTCATAACGTAAGAACCACAGGTAAACGCTTGAACCCGTGCAGACGCACGTGTTAGCTCCATTTTCTTGAGCAATGATTGTTAAGTGAGTATGGCGAAGACAGAAGCCGCTTCGGCAAAATGAATATCCTCTTTCTTTCTCCCAAAAACATCGGTGCTGAGCTCTAGGAGGACGTGCAGGAGGTCCAAAGACATGGCCTATCCCCAGAGGTAACAACTAAGGCGCGAGCCATCTTGGATGGATATGGCAGCTTTCCAAATTAGCTTCCATCAGTCTGTACCGCAATCAGATGAGCCTAATTATAAGGGTTAGAGTAAACAGAAACGAGAAAGAAGCAGGTGGAAAACTGAGATTTGTTCCATAAAACACTGTAATTATGAGAACTTCAAATATAAAACTATGATAATTGCAGCATATTAATTAATAAAATGAAAAAAATCCAAATATAGAAATATATATATTCGCTTCCGGTTATTTTGAACATTTACAATGGTATTGCAGTGTAATTCCACCCACATCTCTCAATTTTTAGTACACCATCTTGTAAAGAGGTTTTAATGATAAACAATGTATTGCAAGCTCTCCAACATATCTTTTTATTTGGTAAAATTGTGTTCAAGATTTTTGCTGCGTTTCTTTTTCCGCCTTTTGAACATCAGCATAGAATTTATTTCTTCTTTTTGTAAAGGGCTTTCATTCATGTACGCACGGTTTGGATTTCCCTACAGCCGCACCCACCTTTTGGAATGTTGCCAGACCCATCCAGGGGCTCGCGCCTTCAATTGCCACCGCCGGGGATAGGGGCATGTCTTTGGGACCTCCTACACAGCCCTGAGCTCTAACATCAAAGCCACTACCATTCAATAGACTCGAATAGAAGAGGGTATTCAAAAATTTGGTGCACCAAGGGTTAGCGTCAAAATACAAAAAATCCTTCTAGAAAATCCAAACAAAAAAGAATGAAGAGTTGAAAGATTCAAGACATACCATCTCCACAAATCCGTAATCTAATTCACTCAATGACTTGTAATCCACGATAATTACTAGATGTTCCTCTGTGCGCCATAACCTGACTGCATCTTCAACCTCAAGCAAGCTATCCTCACTGTAATGCAGTACGTAACCAACGCAAATCAAAATGATAAGAGAAAATCATACCAGGTGATGTACGTGGTCGAAATATTTTCTAATGAGAGCCGTAAAGCTACAGTGTGAACCATCCAAGGATCATTTGCTAGAACAACAGTTTTCTTTAAAAGAGTGTTCTCTCCTGAAACGAAGAGTAAACTAACCAAGACAC